CGCGCAGGCACGGCGCCAGGTCGCGGTCCGGGGCGCAGCCCAGCTGCGCGGCCACCGAGGCGCGCAGCGCGTCCGGCCGCCGCTGCTGCGCCCACGGCGACAGCGCAGACCCGCTCAGCAGGGCTGCGCGCTGGAACAGGCCTGGCCGCACGCGTAGGTTAAGTACCTGTCCACATGATTGGTGAGGAAGAAATCGAAGGGAAAAGAGAGAGACAGCTGGGCTGCGCACTGGATCAGGCCTGCAGCACGTGCAGGTTAAGTGCCAATTCAGATGATTGGTGAGGAAGAAATGTAAGGCAAAACACAGATTCAACACGCACGGTTAGGTTTCGGTCCAGAGATCGCACGGTTATGTTCTAGTCCCCAAATGATTGGGGTGGTGATGGATGGCAAAGCACACTGAGCGGAGCTGTGCAATGGAACAGCCATGTCATATTAGCACCCAGACGTGTGCGGAGGAGCTGGTCTACACGCAAAGGTTAGTGTCAGTGCTGAAATGAAAGTTGGAGTATACCGTCGTACAACTAAAAGAGCTGGAATATACCTTCGTAAATTATATTGGGTATATTCAATAAATACTTTCGCTTTGTATTTTCTGCTGGTTTAATCTGTTTTATTTTTTTCAGGAATGTTTATTCTCCAACCAATGGAAATAAAAGTGGAGTTTCCTGTCCAAATTGAAGTTACTGACAGCGGTTTTAAGAATTAAAAGTACAAGCAATCTCATCCCTAAAGATGCATTTAGTACAATGTTCAAATAATTCAAAATTAAATTGAAGTGTTGTGTTCGGTTATTTCGTTTACAGTTTGAAAAATCCTTGGCCTACTTCATTTAGTTAGCTGGCACTATCGGGGCTCATGCGGAACATTGTTATCGTACTGTTAACGTCTAATACCCACATAAACAGCTCAGGATTGCTTAGGAAACATCACATTGCAAGATCAACAGATATTCGTTTATACAAGGAGTGAAACAACATATCATTCAGTACGAGTACATATGTGTTAGCCCAGATACAACCTCTATTCAACTCTTCTAATTTGTCATGTTTTTCTGGACAGAGAACGATTTAATACAGTCAGTACAGAAAAGTATAATGAACCTAGAAAAAAGACACTTTAAACGGTCTGATTAAAACGTGCAAATGGAAGCCCTTTAAATAACTAAATATTTCGGTTTCTTGTTAATTATGCATTGGAGTCGACAACAACGAAATTGATGAAGGCTGCACTAGTAGCTAACGCAGGTAACTTAGGAATTCACTGATTATAATTTATAAATATTAATTTAAATATACATTTTTGAGTAAAAAAATTTCAATTAGAATATTGCATTAACAAGTGAACATTTGGCACGAATATGTTGAAAGTGTAAACGAGGGATTAATGGAAAGTTGGATATTTGGGATTATTTATACGGCTCGATTTTAAAAGGGAAAATAGATTCATTCTGAGACCCTTCGATCGGTAAGAATCTGAACTATATTCCGCGGTGCCCAATGTTTGCCACTACATAGGAGGGCGAATACAGACGCTGTCCGGAGAAGTCTAGCCGTCGGCAGCTCTGATCGGTAATTTTCCGTGGTTGCTCCGATCAACATTTGACAAATACCATAGCAGAACCCTAACAAAGGGGCCACGGACCATGTGCGATCTTTGCTTCTTCTTTGCCTTATATTCTCCCCTTATATATACGCCTTCTTTCATTGACATCGTCTACAATTCATTGATTGACATTCATCTACGATTGACTGATGAGTCCACGCACGCTAATTGCAACAGACATTAGTACTATTGGTGTGGTGAATATATCCCGGGAAGTGGCGGTGATTCCTTTCCAACTGAATGGTCTAGCGCTGACCTGTACGTCGGCTTGCGGCAGGATTTTCTCCTTAAGGTATCTATCGCTAGGGGGCAACGCCCCAGCCGCGGGAAGCTCTAAGCTCCCGACTTGTCTCCCAACATGTGTGTTAGTGTAGTGACTGTAAGTGTAGTCGTAAGTAAGAAATAGGATAAAAAAAGAAAGAGCAAAGAATAATCGCGCGCGGTTCGTCGCCCGTTTGTTAAGGTATTGCTCCGACATTCGTCTGGTTCAGATCGGAAAAACCAACGATCGGAGAAACTACCGATGGGAGCAGCCGGCTGTTAGAATTCTCCTTCATGCAGCGAATAAATTTGACTAAACTGCATAGCTGGTACAGAAAATCCCCGACGGTACTCGAACCTTAGTTGAGGCAATGCTCGCTCTGAGAAACTCTCAGCCTCTCACCGACTATGAATTTCTTGCCAACGAGCGCTGCTGGACGCCTTCCTCGCTCCTATTGGGAGACAGGGCCAATTTTTCGCCTTCTCGCCCAGTAATTTTATAGCACATTTATTCATCTCACAGATAATTAATACATTTCATCTACTGAAGATCAATTGGCTGTCCCGGAAGATTGATTGTTAAAGGGTAAGAGTAGTGGCAAGATCGGTTCGGGGGGGGGGGTTGCGATTTTGAGTCCCACATATGTTGTAGCATTCTCTGTAGTGTCGGAGCTTTTCCAAACATCGTGCAAAACCTAATAAAATACCGTTTCTTTATCCTTCACCGCCCTTGTGGCGGAGCCGACGATTGGACCTGTCTATGGACAGAGGGCGTAAAGCTGTCAATGGATCCACGGACAACAACGTGCCAGCCCGCCATCTTTCTTCCCCAAGTGTCGCTAAGGTCTTGTAGTTCACAGGTGGCTGTGAATGGACACCGCTGCTGTGGGTCTGTGGACGTCATCGGCATGAAGGAGTGGCCTTGAGGATGATGCAGGTGCATCAGGGCGCCAAGCAGAGATAGAACTAAAGGCGGAGGATGCCCGTATATCCTAATCCAAATGGATGAAGAAACTGAGTACAATGATGATATTAAAGGTTGATATGTGCAACGCTTTAATCTGTGGTGTCACTGATTCTTTCCACAAAGTTCTAGGATTAAAGATTAATGCAGGGGCAGATGAATATTTTAAATATCCAGTCATATAATGTTAAATGAAGAGCAACTAGCAGTTTCTATTCTCAATATTCAAAAAGTGAAATAAATTAAACCTGGAGCCATTTCAACATAAACATTGCTGTACATATAATTTTGTATACAATGTTTATTATGTAGATGTTAAGACACACACTCTATGCTGTTCGAAGTGTTAACTTCTTTGCGTTAACATCATTAATTATCTCCATTAAATCCATCTTTAATTTTCACATAAAAATTAAACATTTGAACTGAATGAAAATACTATCAGTTTAGACAATCGACAGTCTTCCATGAACAGAAACCAGGCTATTGAGTGAGAGTCCAGGTCTCATAGCACTTTGAACCTCAGAAAAATAATTTACCAGGAGATTGAGCACCAGGAGATTTAGAATAACGACTTAAACAGCACACATTGTTTAAAAAACAAAACCCATCTAACTTCGTCAATTTATCTTCACCAGAATCATCAAGATACATGGACGCGTATTTTTAGTTTCAAAGAAAAATAAAGAAGCTTTTTTTCAGACTAGCGCACAACTTCGGCTGTCGAAGAGAGAGTCAATAACACGGGGTTCCGAGGAGGTCTTAAACGCCTTTTCCAGAATATTTTTTGAGGGGCCATCAGAGCGGAAAGTGTTCCGGGAGTATTCACCGGAGGGCACGTACCCCTCGCCTCGGCTTGCACCCCCTACCCCCCAGTCGCCGTCCCCCCGACGCAGCTCCACAACTTTGCGTGGGGCGGGCGCTTGAATTACGTTATGCAGGAGCGCGCATGTTCTCAACTTGTCTAATTCTTTCGCTCCGGCGCGCCCACGCGCCCGGCACTGCTCGGGCCCTGGGCGGATCGGGCTGCATATTCGCGTAACTTAGTTTGCAAGTTTTCTTTACGATAGTATTGCCCTGCGCTTTTGTCTCAACCGGCGGGCGGATGTAAGCGTGGCTCATTTTTGCGCGGAATTTCATCGTGAAGAAGTCCTTCTTATGGTTTTATTATCACGAGTGATGAAGTGAGACATAGTATATCAAATTGTCAGAATGACTTACATATTTTTTTGGGGACAGTAAAACGAAAATCCCTATTAATTGAAAGCCCAAGAGTTAACTTTTTTGAACTTACAGGTTAACAAGGTAGCACAAAAACTTTACATTTAATTCGTTTATAAAAATATTTTCATTGAATATTACATTTCATTTCATTTAATTAATATTTCATCAAATGTTTCATTTAAATTGTTCATTTGTTAACCTACTTAGTTAGAGCGTTAAGAGCTTGTAGCTGTTAATTGACTAGTTGGATTTTTTAGATTGTGAATACTGAATATGAGATTCAAGTTATGAATTAAACAATTCAATATTGTCATTTGCTCCCGAGCTTTCTTTGAATTTTTTCTTGTATTAAGCAAGGTTGAGGAATAATTGCTTACAATTTTTATTTTAACGAAGTGCACATGAGTTCTCTGATAAACAGGTGCTTGAAATATTGTCAGAGCATAAATTCTGACCTATCACTGTATTAACTTTCATGCCTGATTGTGACTCCTCCTGAAAGCGAGTCGCCAAGCATTAGTTAGGAGGCCCCTTGCACACATTTAAGGCATTAACCTCAGGTCTACATCCTTCATGGTCAGAACGTAATCGACATTTGGTGGTTTTGGGAGATACTTGGCGCCGAATTCAACCTCCAAAGCCTTGCCTGGAATCATTAGCCAGCACGCCAAGGAAGTAATACTTCTTAAAAAAGTGGATTTTGAAAAAAAAATTGAATGAGCGTGATAGCGTATCGAGTGTCCAATGTAACCGTCGTACGTAGGTATATTCTACATTTTAGACCTGATAGTGCGTGGTGAGGAGAGAGAGGAGAGAGAACAATTGAAACTGGATACCGGAGTAGTGCCTTACACAACGGGCCATCATGTGCGTGATAATTCTTTTTATATCCTATATTTACTCTTATCCTCAATCATCGCTTGCACTGAGACAGCTATGTAGCGGTCAGTCTGCTAGACAGTAAATTACGCCATATAAACATTTGAGAACAGCTCGGAAGCCAATGTAAAGGACAGTGGACTGTCCTGTCTCTCTTGGCGGGTGCACTTCGAGATTTGAAAGATGCTGAGGACAGTCCATTGTCGCC